TTAGCACCTTCCAGGTCCTCCCTAACCCACCCTCTCTTTCCTTCCCCTCCTTTGAGGCGCACTGCATCCGACTCTTCTCACCCACCCCCCTAAGGATCGCAGTGATCTACAGGCCTCCCGGATCCATAGCCCGCTTCCTGGATGACTTCGCCGCCTGGCTCCCCTTCTTCCTCTCCTCTGAGCTACCGACCATCATCCTCGGGGACTTCAACATCCCCATCAACGACAACACCCCGGCTACTTCCCAATTCCTCCACCTAACCTCCTCCTTCGCGTTCACACAGCACACTCAATCCTCCACCCGCTTCGGAGGGAACACCCTGGACCTTGTCTTCTCCCACCTCTGTACCCTCAACCAGTTCTCGAACACACCCCTTCCCTCTCTCCGACCACCACCTCCTCACCTTCTCCATCTCCCCTTCCCCCAACTCCCCCCCCTCAAAAACGCCAAACCATCACCAGCCGCAACCTCCGCAACCTGAACCCGGCCCCCCCCTCCACTCTGCCGCCACTACTGCCTACACGACAGCATCCTCCCACTGTCATGTCCTGACATAGCCACCACCTTGTACAATGACTCACTGTCAGCTGCCCTAGACTCTCTGGCACCCCTAACCACACACGCATCATCAAACCCAGACCGCTTCAACCCTGGCAGACCGACAGCACTAAAATGCCTCAAACGTCGCAGTCGCGCACTGGAGAGACTGTGGCGCAAAACCAGGTCCCCTCATACTTTCTCCCTCTACAAATCTGCATTTCTTATCTACACCTCCTCCCTCCATGCCGCCAAGCAGGCCTACTTTGTTAACCTAATAAACACCCTCTCCTCCTGGCCCCCTCGCCGACTCTTCTCCACCTTCAACTCCCTGCTCTTCCATCCCCCCCCCCCTCCTCCACTCAGTACCTCTCTCACCGCCCACGAGATTGCCACCCATTTCCACAACAAGATTGACGCTATCCGTAAGGACATCGTCAACTTGCAATCTACCTCCCCACCTAGCCTCCTCGCCCCGTCACCCACCTTCATCTCCCCCCTTCCTCTGCCCTCAACCGCACTGCCCCCCCCCCCCATTTGCACTGCCCCCCCTCCTCTCCCAAATGCCCGCTGTATCCGCCCACATAACCCCCCCCGCACTGCACTCCCTCAGCCCCTGTCACTACTGAGGAAGTCGCCAAAGTCCTCTCAAAAGCCCGCCTCACTACCTGCCCCCTGGACCCTATCCCCTCTCAACACTCCTCCGGTCACCCCCCCTCTTCCCTCATCCGCTCCCTCACCCACATCTTCAATCTCTCCCTCTCTACTGGCGTATTCCCCTCCCCCTTCGGCTCTCTCCAATCACGCGGCATATCACCCCCATCCTCAAAAAAAGCCCTCCCTGGATCCCGCGGACCCCAACAACCTCAGACCCCATCTCCCTGCTGCCAACTCACCTCCAAGCTCCTTGAACGCATAATCTACGATCGCCTAAGCGCCCACCTTACAGACAATAACCTCCTTGACCCTCTACAGTCCGGCTTCCGTCCCCCTACACTTCGCCCTCCTCAAAATCACTAACGACCTCCTACTCAACGCCAAAGCCAAGGGCGACTACTCTGTCCTCCTTCTCCTGGACCTCTCTGCGGCCTTCGACACAGTTGACCACCCCCTCCTCCTTAATAAACTACTCTCCCTTGGCATCGGAGATACTGCTCTCTCTTGGTTCTCATCCTACCTATCCCGACGCTCCTTCAGTGTCACCTACAATGGCCACCTCCCCCTCCCTCCCCCTCTCTGTTGGGGTCCCCCAAGGCTCTGTCCTTGGACCCCTTCTCTTCTCCATCTACACCTCCTCCCTGGGCAAACTCATACAATATCACGGCTTCAACTATCACCTCTATGCTGACGACACCCAAATCTACCTCTCCACCCCTCACCTCACCCCCACTATCTCCGCCCGCATCACTCACCTCCTAAATGACATCTCAGACTGGATGTCGCTACATTTCCTCAAGCTCAACCTCTCCAAAACCGAGCTCCTCATCTTTCCCCCTGCCAACACCCCCCCCCCCCATCCTATCCATCATCAGCCAACAACTCCACTATCACTCCCGCCCCCCGCAAGGCCAAAGTTCTTGGCGTCATTCTTGACGCGAACCTCTCCCTCCAACCGCATGTCAAATCACTCACAAACACATGCAGGCTCCATCTCCGCAACATTGCCAAGATACGCTCCTTCCTCACCCCAGACACCACCAAACTTCTAGTACACTCCCTCATCATCTCACGCCTTGACTACTGCAACTCCCTCCTCACTGGCCTACCCAAGTGCAGGCTCTCCCCGCTCCAGACCATCCTGAACTCAGCTGCCAGACTCATCCACCTCACCACCCGCTCCACCTCTGCCACCCCCCTCTGCCTCTCCCTCCACTGGCTCCCGATTGCCCAACGCATCAAATTTAAACTCCTAACCCTGACCTACAAAGCCGTTCACAACACTGCCCCTGACTACCTCACCAACCTGATCACCAAGTACCACCCTACCCGTACCCTTCGCTCCTTACAGGACCTCCTTCTATCCTGCTCCCTGGTCTCCTCCTCCCATGCACGACTGCAGGACTTCTCCAGGTCCTCCCCCATCCTCTGGAACTCACTGCCCCAATCCATCAGACTGTCGCCTTCCCTATTCCCATTCAGGCGCTCCCTCAAAACCCATCTCTTCAGGGAAGCCTACCCCACCCTCACCTAACGGCCATCCTCCCTCATTCCTCCCACCACTTCATCCCCCTCAGCCACTTCCTACTGTACCTTTACCCCCTCCCTTCCTAGATTGTAAGCTCGTAAGAGTAGGGCCCTCTTACCCCTCGTACGTTTGTTTGTTGTTGTTGTACTGTGCCATGTGTATTGTCCCCCCTATTGTACAGCGCTGAGCAAACCCTTTGGTGCTATATAAACTCGTAGTAATAATAATAATAATAATAATAATAATAATAAATACAACTGGAAGAAAGCTTAATTTGTGTGAAAAAAAGGACGTAAATTTAATTTGGGTGCAGTATTGCATGATTGCGCAATTATCAGGTAAAGTAACGCAGCGCCGTATCGCAAAATGTGGCCTGGTCAGGAAGGGGGGTAAATTCTCTGGAGGGCAAATGGTTTATCACTTATGGACTGCCCCATGTACTTCTACTGTGGCAGGGCGGCTTTCTGCGCTGGATCATGTGCATGTAGGTGATCCAACATTTCTGGTAGGGGGCGTGCGTCCGCTGCCCCACCTGTGCTGTCATTTAGTACAGCACAAGTAGGTCAGCAGGTTCTGGCCATAAATCATCGGCCAGGACCTGATGATTGGCTGAGCGAATCACAGCACAGAGCCCTGTGTTTACTAACAACACAGGGCTCTGTACATGGAGCAGCAATAGGGCTGTTTACCTGCAAAGTCATATCAAGGGCAAAAGCAATCTAAGGCTAGGTTCACACCTATGCAGTTTGCAGTTGATGTGTTTTTCTGGTGCAGTTTGTGATTTTTCAAAGGCGCTTTTGAAATGTTTTTCTGAATACTACAGCACTTCCTCTTTTTTAGCCTAGGCAAAAGATCAAATAACCCCCCCCCCCCATTGCTTTCTGGTATTGTCAAGTCAAAAGTCAAAGATCCAAGGAGATAGTATTTTTCTGAGGGCACATGTATTCCGGAAGATTCAGCGCATACGCAGCCACAACAACCATTTTTAGCATGTCTACATTTGCTGAGGGATCCCGGCCAGCCCAGGGCACCCTATGACTAAGTCCCGGGGGGGGGGGGGGATGCATTAGGGTGTATGGTTTGGTGAAAATGTGTCGGCTGCTTTTTATCGTTCATTCACTGGGGCTGCTTGGGAGTAGCGGCGATCTCCTCTTTACTAGCCCCCTGGATTGGTATTAGGACAAGCCTCCCCTCCCCCCCATGTTTCTGGGACACAGGGATGTCCTCTTACCTTTACTTTGAGCGGCGGCAAAAGCATTCTTAACCACTTTGCGCCGGCGCCTCCCGGCCCCTTTTCAGAGGCCAGGAGGCAGGCTGGGTTTTAGGGTCATGTGACCGCCATGATTCGCCATCACATGATTGGAAAAGGTCCCGATCGCAAGGGGAGATCGGGACCTTTCTGTGAGTCATGTACATATGCGCTGGGAACACGCAGGGCGCGCGCTCTCAGCACATATGTATTTTCTAATGGCATGCAAATATGTGGCTGCTCGGTGTCAAGGGGTTAAGCAAGGTTCACACTTATGCAGTTTGCCGTTTTTCAAATGCGTTTTTGATATGTTTTTAATAGGTTTTTATGCATTTTGCGTTTTTGGGATGTGTTAATGTTGATAGGAGGTGTTGTCATGCAGAAAACACACCAAAAATGCATATACTCGCATTTTTTATGTGTTTCCATTGAAGACTATGGAACCAAAAACATAATCTGCTGTGGGCAAAAAAGTCCTTGACCCTTTCCAATATAACATCATCAGTTGAAAGCGCACAGATGTTAACGTGACCCATTGGAAAGCATGATAAATGGACTGCAGTGTGTTTCTGCAAATCTGAAAATGCACAGATGTGAACCAGGCCCAACAGGTTACAGTTTCCGTCACTTCGTAGCTCCGCGTTAGACATTCCGTTTTTCTGGAACATTTTCGTGGACATTCCAGAATGAAATCGCTGTCTTCCTCTCACAGATGGACGGAGTTTTCTGATGTGGACTTCTGAGGTCTAATTAAGAAGGTAATGACAGATCTGTACAAGTGTAGTGCTGAAACAAAGGATTCTTTGGCTCAATCAATCCTTTGTGGCCTCACAATGACAGTGGCACACACTGAGATATCTGAAATATGTCGGCATAGCCAGGCCAATCAATGAAAAGCCTGGACAATGGGAGCACGGTTCATGTGGTGCAGTATGAGGCATTTTTTTTAACGTGGTACAATGAGTTTAGTTTTCCCCATGTTGAAAAATACAGCAACATGGTGAGAACAGGGGCGGACTGACAACTCATGGGGCCCCCGGGCAATAGGGGATCATGGGGCCCCTGGGTCCTTGCCCAAACTCAAAAAAGCCTATGAAAAAGGTACCAGGGGCATCTCATGGGGCCCCCTACTGACCCCGGGCCCTCGTTTCCAAATGGTCAGTCAGTTACTGGGTGAGAATGAGCCCTTATGAAGTGATAACATCTTTTTAAAGAACATTAAAGGCCAACTCCAGAAATCTACCTTTGCAGAGCCCCCTCCCCCCCCTCCCTCGTGCACTGCAAGGGTTAAGCTTAAACATTCTCCCTGCTCCCACACTGCACAGGATAGTTGTTTATTTTGGTCTAGACCAGGGGTGTCAAACTCCATTTCATCGCGGGCCCTATCAGCATTATGGTTGCCCTCAAAGGGCTGGTTGTATCTGTAAGACTAGATGTCTAGAGCACCCCAACCCTCATGACATCAGATGTCAAGAATCCCACACCCCCCTAACATCACCGTGCACCCCCTTTGGGGGCAGAGCTGGAAATCAGAAAGCAGGGTCTGGAGGAGGACCAGAGGAGGAGTGGAGTCAGTTACCAGAGTCTGCTGAATGCTGAGACCAGGGGAGGCAGAGATGAGGGGGTGCTGCAGCTGCACTGAGAGGTGCAGGATTTGGTAGAGGAGTTCTATTCTCTCTGCTGCCGACTGCTGAGTTAAGGTGGGGGTGGAGACAAGGGGGTACCTGCAGGAGAGGTGCAAGGGCCAGATAAAATAACCTGGAGGGCCGGATTTGGCACGCGGGCCTTGTGTTTGACACCTGTGGTCTAGGGAATGCAAAAAAGTAGATCCACTCTGCACTTCTAGACCAGTTCCCCACAGCGCCTTCTCCTCCCATGCTGCGACAGTCTGGCATCATCAAAACCAATGCAGAGTCCATTGCCCTGGATTAAATATGATGACACCAAGAGGCAGGCTACTAATGGAATGTGGGGGGAATATCATTTTCTAGGGGAGCGGATGACCAGGTAAGTTAAAGCACAAAAACTGTAACCTAGACTCAATGAGCAGCTAACCCTTGCAGGCACATTTCCACTGCAAGGAATCATTTTTAAATGTATAACTAGTTTTGGTTAGAGTGGAGAGGGATTAGAATGCCTATAAGGTTTTTATTGTTGAATTAAGCAAGGACCATGCTACCTATATCCAAAAACATACAGCATATGGAAACTAAGGAACACTGCTTTGCGCTCCACTGACCATATGCAGTGACATATCAGGGAAGTCCTACCCAACGTGTTTCGTCAGCACTGTCTGACATCATCAGGGGTCACATGACCGGATGCTCACTTCCTTTATATACAGACTGCGGACACCATCTTGCCCCCATTCCATCCAATCAGAAACTCAGCCATCCCAAAGCTTAATGCTTTGATAACACCCCTAATTGGACCTTTGCATTTATCCAATAATATATCAATCTATATTTTAAGAATATCAAAACTATAAGGGGACAATATAGAAAATAGGATATTCACTAGTAAACACCATATTGTGGGGACCTCTACTGGTGGATTGACATTATGACATTATGATTTACCACACATCAGGTCAATCTTACTAACCGGCGTCCTCAAGTGGTAACAATAAATATTTATTTAGAGGTGAGAACCTACAAAGCCTCCTAGTGGTGGATAAATTAACAACACCACTGAACAATAATATTGATTATTTGATTGGATCGATTAGTGGCAAATGCAAACACGATGAGCAGCACAGTGGCTAAATGGTTAGCACTTCAGCCTGGCAGTACTAGGGTCGTTGGTTCGAATCCCAACCACGGCACCACCTGCCTGGAGTTTGCATGTTCTCCCTGTGTGCCTGCGTGCCTTTCCTCCAGGTACTCCGGGTTCCTCCCACACTCCAAAGACATGCTGGTAGGTGAATTAAGCTCCAAGGAGCAGGGCCCTCGAAACCCCTCGTGTATCGCACTGTATTGTTATTGTACTGTCTCATGTATTGTCCCCCATTGTAATGTACAGCGCTGAGCGAACTGTTGGCGCTATATAAATACTGTATAATAATAATAATTGGCTCCTGTCTAAATTGTCCCTAGTATGTGTATGTATGAATGTGAGTTAGGGACCTTAGATTGTACGCCCCTTGAGGATTTGGGACTGATGTGAATGCACAATATATATGTAAAGTGCTGCGTAAATTGACAGCGCTATACAAGTACCTGAAATAAATAAATAAAAACATTCAAAAATTAAAAAAAAAAACAACTATTTAAATCAATGTCAAGATTCAGGGCAGCAGGATATAAGGAATTTAATTCAAAAATCCATTTTGTTTCATTCATAGCTTGTTTCAAATTAGAACCCCTCCAATCCCATTCTACTCTGTCAATAACACAAAAGGTCAAAACTCCTGGGTCTCTATTATGGTATAATATAAAAGTGATTGGATATACGATGCTGGGGAAAGCCCTTTTTAATATTGTCTATATGTTCATTAATTCGGACCCCTAGTTTCCTTGTGGTGCTTCCCACATATTGGATCCCACAAGGACAACCCCATAGGTAGGTGACATGATCACTCTGACAAGTGATACATTTCTTCATTTTATATTCTCTGCCAGTACTATATGATTTAAATGAAGTAGTTCTTTTTACCCTATTTTTTACTGTTTTACACGTACAACATCTACCACAAGAAAAAAAACCCTACTATGTCCAAAAACATACAAGGTTTCATAGCAGGATCTGATACATTGCAGGCCAATTTATTCCTTAGACTAGGGGCTCTACGGTAAATACATTTAGGTTTCTTTGCAAGTAATTTCTCCAAGGTCTTATCTCTCAACAAAATCGGTCAATGTTATGCATTTTTCCCGATGGATTTATAATCCCTACTGAATTCCGTGATAAAGGCTATATCAAAATTATTGTCATTTTTACTCTTATTTGTATCCTCAAATAGTGTATTTCTATCCATCTCCCTGAACGTTCTTTGTTATTCTTAACAATAAATCCTCACTGTAACCTTTCTCTCTAAATCTATTTATCGGTGTATCTGCCTGTCTATGAAAATCATTTAAATCACTACAATTCCGCCTGACGCTAATAAGTTGACCTTTCTGGATCCCTCTCAATTACTTTGGATGGTGACAACTTCCTATGGGAATATAACTGTTTTGGTCTGTGTCTTTAAAATATCTACTAGTCCATACTTGTTCACCCTTCTTTTTTGAGTATCAAATCCAAAGAGTTTACTGTTTCAGTGCTCCAAACACCTGAAAAAAACAATCCATAGTTCATACCCTTCAAAAAATCTTTCAGACTATCTACTGTGCTTTTCAATCTAATGATTATATTGTCTATGAATCTTTTATAGAGGATTAGTCCTGGAATTTCTCTGCCATAGATCTCCCTTTCTTCCCAAGATTGGCCACACTAGGGGCATACTTTCCCCCCATAGCAGCACCCCTTATTTGGTTATAAAAGGAGCCGCTATGCCAAAATTAGTCGTTAGTCATTGCCAACTCCAATTTTCTTTGTGCAGTTTTAAGGTCTGTTCTTGTTGTTTTAATTGTTGTTGTATTAACACTGTTCTTGTTTTAATTGCTAATAAAGCATCTTCTTGTTTTATATTAGTATAAAGCGATTCAATATCAATGGTTACCAAAAGGGAATCTTCCTCCATCGGTATACCTTTAAGAATATTCATAAGATTTTTGTTGTTTCTCAAAAATGAAGGATAAGTTTTGTGTCAGCTGCTATAAGAAAAAAATCTATATATTCTCCTATACGAGAAAAAAAAAAAAAAAAGGATCTATACCACTTACTATGGGTCTCCCTATGGCTTTCTCTTTATTCTTATGCACTTTTGGTAATAATAAATTACCGGTACTCTTGGTGCTTCAGGGTTGAGATATTTGGCTTCTTTTTTTACTTAATATTCCCTTCTTCTGTGCCTTTTTAATCAATTTAGTTAATTTAGCTTTAAACAGTTTAGTAGGGTCCCCAGGGAGTATTTTATATGTAGTACTGTCTCCCACTAGCCTATCAAGTTCTCTTTGATAATCATATTTATTTAAACCACCACAATCCCCCCCCCCCCCCCCCCCCTTTGTCTGAGGACCTTATAATAATTTTTTTTCCAGTCCTATTATGCCTTTCTGAATGGCTTCTTTATTCCAGTAGCGTTTACTTTTAAGAATTTTTATATCATGTTCAACCGTGGATTTAAAAAACATCTAAAAATTGGTTAGAAGAATTCTTTGGATTAAAAATAGATATATTCCTCAGTCCACTCCTTTAAAACTCTGAATCTTTCACATCCTCAGTTTGCAGTTTATCCGCAAAATGCTTCTTAATATAAAATTTCTTTATAAATTTTTGCACATTTATGCAAGTATTGAATTTATTTATCCTTTTATCTGGGGCATTCTCTCGGCTCAAATGAGTTTCATTTTGTCATATTCATTATGTTGAACCAATTCGTTTTTGGAATTAGTTTCATAAGTTCGGCATTTGTTTTGTATATTTGTTTGTTCGTTGGATTCGAAAAAGTTTTTAGTTATTTCAACCTCTCCCTCCTAGATTGTAAGCTCCCAGGATCAGGGCCCTCCTATCCCTCTTGTATTGAACTGTATTGTTGCTGTATTGTCTCCCTTTATATTGTAAAGCTCTGAGCAAACTGTTGGCGCAGTATAAATCCTGTATAATAATAATAATAATAATTTCAGAAGATTGCTATATATTATTTATCTAATTTGATATTTCGGGTGGATTCGTTATTAATACACTATACAGGCGTACCTCGGTCTACGAATGCCTCGTTTAATGTAATTTTCGGTTTATGACTGAAAATCCATTGAAAATAATGCCTCGGTTTACAAATTTTTTCGCAATACAAAGCGTTTATAGTGCCTGCCCCGTGCCTTTAAAGTGCACTTCATAAAGAGTTTTGAACAGATTTGACTTTTTTCAGATTTTCTGACCTCCAGAATGGATTAATTGGTTTTCAATGCATTTACAAATTTTTTTTAATCATTTCCCTGTACAGTTTTTATGCCTTTAAAGTGCAATTTATAAAGAGTTTGAACAGATAAGACTTTTTTTTTTACTATTTTCTGACCTCCAGAATGGATTAATTGGTTTTCAATGCACTCCTTTGGGAAACTGCGTTTTGGTTTACGAATTTTTCGCAA